AGTGTATAAAAAAAGTATTTGTATACAGGAAGGGATGTGTCAATTTTTAATGTAAACAAAGTTTAGCTGGGCTGTCCTTTAGAATGTGACTACAGTCGAAGCATTTTTTTTTATAGTTTAGAGAGTAGGGAAGGGTTAGAACCTCTGTTATTGGGGTTCCCCCCCCCCCCCTCACTTGCTGCCCAAGTAACATTAAAAAAAACCTGTCACCCAACTTAAAAAACTGCAGGTGAAAGCCCTTTTCCTTTCCAAAATTAATTGTTTAATTGACTTGCATAGGGCCTCTGAACATTCTGGCAAATGTGATCTCTTGAGCCAATACAACCTAGCAAAATCTGCAAGCACTATAGAGAATAACAATCAAAAACACACACATATATTGAAAATGACTGCACATTCAATATATGTATTCTGCCAAATGTGGCTACTTCAGAAAGAGTCAATTGCCTTGAACGGCCTCCTCCCTCCTTGCATGTCCTTGCAGCCCTCTCGTCTTCTTGGTATTTCCAACTACTCCATGTGCTGGCCCAGTTCCTCCAGCCTTCCTTTCACCTCCCTATATAACCTTTAGATGTAGCTGTTATGGAAAGAGCAAAGGGGAATATAGTGCCATTTGAGTGACAGTTCTGAATCTTCTGGGGATGTAGGCACTATATCCAAGATGGCAGGATCCTGCAGAAGTCTCAGGGCTTTTGGAGGTCTACACATTAAGGGTGAACAGGGAACAGAGAGCGAGAAAAAATGATCTATATCTTTGCTGGCTCATGTTCTATGGACTGGAAATAAAATAATAATGAAAATATGGAAAATAAATGTTTGTAAGTAACCCAAGAATAGTTTACTTGATTCTACAACACATCATTTTTTGTGATTCAAGTCCATTTAGGCTGATTTTAAACAAGTGTATCAGCATTCCTAATAGATGCTATTAAGCTGAGTGGAAGCCGCAGTTTTGTTTTTCATCAGCCATTTAAGGACATGCTTACACACGCAGTTTTGGAGCAGCCTGCTGAATACTAAACCAGTCTACCCCATTCTGTATGAGAGAGACGTGTTAAAGACTTAACGTACACCTGTCATCTAGAATACATTCTACAATAGGAAATGCAAACATGTCAATAAAGAACTTCTCTGGTGCCCCAGGAGCCCTGCTGGTCAGCAACTTACCAGACCTTCCTATTGGCCTATTACTATTAAGGGCTGACATAAAAGCCAATAGGAAGTTGATGAGGGGTGCAGGCTCAGCTCTTAACATTGCAAGCAAGTGTTAAAATGTGTACAATCCAGGATTCAGAGCTCCTGAAGTACTGAGTCTCATTCCATCCCCTGCACAGCCTGCGTCCAAGCCACATTCTATAGAAAGTGAAAAACTGAAGTCAAAACCCACCTGTAATGATAACTCTTAAGCCTCCACGTCTGCAACTAAGGTCATGCTACATGCACACTATTGGGAATGCTTAATTCCCAATTAATGCTGGACATTAGGCCTGTGCATGATCACCAGGTTCTGTTTGACTTCTGTTGGTCTGCACAATACTTTTGTGGACTGATTTAGATTAAAACATGACCGCATTTGTTTTGGCTGTCTGCCTTGACTGTTTTCTTCAGTCTGCTCAGACCACCTACCTGTGCTAAATGTATCACTTCAGCACCTGTACCCCTTGTAGTGTGCAGTCACTACATGAAACTGTCCTATGATTTGCATTCAAATATATCTCTCCTCTCCAAGTATCACAAAGTGTTACTGGGGTAAAAGGTTTGTATAAGAGACACAGATGACCCTCTGTGGTCTAATTTAGAAGCCAGAATATTTTTTACTGTTCCTTGTGTGGCCAAAATGTTTAATAAACATCATTCCCCTTTACACGTCTGTGCAGTATGTGTTTTATGGTGTGGGTGTTAAACCTTCTAAAAATAAGAAATAACCATTTTGGCAACGGCATTCCTGCTCATTACAGGAGGAGTGTGTCCTATATAGAAATTCATTCAAACATGAATATATAAAAAAAAATGTCATGCATCTGTAAATGTTGTTAGGTTGTACTATACAATAGAAACCCACTAATGCCACAATAATAACCTAAAAAAAAAGGGGGCAAACCAAGTTGAATAGGCTGATTGTAAAGGTTAACTGCACCACTCATAATGCTCTTTTTAAACAGAAAAAAAAGGATTCTAATTAAAATTTTGCAATGTATATATTCTGTTTCAGTGTACAGCTGGGCTTAATATATATACAAGAAAAAAAATGAGTGGTACATGTCTGAAAGAATGCACATTTCAATGTTACGTCTCTTTAAAAATGCTGCAAAGTCAGAAAAATACCTGCTGATTTGCCAAAAATTCAGTGAGCACCTAACTTCCTGTGAGCTGACAAGGTTCTCCATGCTGCACTGAAATCCCTCTTATGGTATCGGGATGAAGAGAGGTGTTCTGTAGCACAGTAAGGGAGAACTGTAAAGAGCCGCCAACACTGTTTAAGAATTGAGTGCAGCAGAAGAAGCATCCATTTACTACAGGAAATTAGGAGCTCATTGGATTTCTGGCAATTCAACAGGTATCTATAACAGATATCTATAAAGTTTGTTCACAACATAAAAACAAGACGTCTACTGTGGTACTGTAAATCTCCTACAAACTCTCCTTGCACTTGTCTTTCCAGATAATTTCAGACAGGTGCCATGACGATCAGAACACACCCCCTAATTCTTCTAGTTTAGGCAGAATATACCACAAAGATACATTTTGCTTGGGCCATGCATCATTCTAGCTCTCAATAATAAGATTCAGTTCCTTCCTCTGAAAGCTTCATAATAAATCTCAACAATAAATTCTAAGTGGTTTCCACCACACATAGCCTACAAACAACAGGATGTTGGTTGCGTTGTCTTTTTTCACATTTGTTGCCCGCCACCAGGCATGATGAATATACTAGAAGCTATTTTTTGGCAGATAATTTTTTAATGGAATATCAATGACACCGCTCTGTTACCCCATAAAGCTTTTAGATAAAGGGACACTAAATCAAACCTGTGTCGCCCTTGTTTGAAACAGAACTATGTATAACATTTCCATCATTTTATGGAGCTTCTAAGTCTACTCTCAGTGGACATGTAGCTGATGGATGGGCAACAAGGTCTAAGGTTTGTGTTGTGGCGGTACGTGATAGGAAATTATCATTATTTTGACGTGTAGCAAACCAAGCCAAGGTGTAAAGGGAATGTAGAGAACTGAAAGAACTAAATAGTGCGATTCAAACTTCTGCCCTCAACCCTCATCCAGCCATGATCTCCCACTTTGTGACAATTTCTTGCAGCTCGACATTTGGCAGACACATGACTATTCTGCTTAGCCTGCAAGCTTTCAGTTGCTACAGACATAGTCCATTTAGATTGCAGAAGTTATCCTTTCAATATTATGAAAGGATAACTGCTTAGCTCCAGGGTCAGAATGAAAGGCCAAACCTCCCACCTTTCTGAGATGGAGAAAGAGGGCCACCTCTGATTGCGAAAGGATCAAGGTAAACTCAAAACTCTTGCTCCACTTTCAGTCTTGTTTCCCTTCCTTCATTCCCACAGACATAAAGGAACTACAGATGCTCTTCACCTAATGAGTTTCGTTCGTACGTTGTTAAGCGAAATGGTCGCTAAGAGTGAGGAATATAGGAAATCAGCTCCAACATATGGCACAGTGTACAATACTGAGCATTAGGAGAGCTGGTTGTAAGTCCATACGGTTGATTACCCAAGTTCTTGCACAGTGTACAATACCATCCGGTCAAAGAGCTGGTTGTAAGTCTGAATGGATGATTACCTAGCTTTGCATACTGCATATACCCAAGTTCTTGTACAGTGTACAACAACGTCCGGCCGGAGAGTTGGTTGTAAGTCTAAATGGTTGCTTACTTAGGTTTGCATAAAGTAAATATCCAAGTTCTCGGTCTGGTCATAAAGGTCCTTAAACATGTAGGTTGTTAAGTGAGGAGTAGCTCCACTGATACTTCATGTGCTACAAAAAGGTATTTGTGTACAGTAAGTAATAACACCTAAAATGGTTTACCCATTAGCACAAAAAATGGAGGAAAAAACTGCAATTACCAGGCCCCCATGGTTGTCTATGGGGAATCATGGGTCCGTTTACATCAGATTACCCCCGATCCGGCACGATTCGGTCAGTTGAAACAGAACACTGTTCTGTTTGTTTTATCCGGAACCAGCCAGAGGCAGGGGTAAACGGGTGTAAGCTGACACTCATCTGTTTACACGCAGCTGCCCATAGACTTGCACTGGCCATCCGGTCGGGTCCACTTGAAAAACTGACCGGAGCAGCCATGTGGAATGGGATTATAGCATATCTGAACCTAAGAACAATATATTGCAGCTTATCAGTCCTTATATGTGGTGGCTGCATTCTTTTTCCCTTTTCAGGCTTTTTTTACCTTTAAAAAATGACTACGAGCCGTTACAAAATGAACCCTTGCAGTGGTGCTTTCTACCTGTCTGGGTTTTTTTCTTTAATTTTTACCTGGTAATCCTTATTTTGGGTGGCTATGCTCAATCACCCCACTGCGTCTATAGAGGGAGACATGGCTATGGGTTTACTCTGTTCACCTCCATTACATTGGGTCAGGGGAATCCAAAGTTTATAAAAGATAGATTAGAAAGAAGATGATTCTATATGCATATATAGTTTCTGAAATGTTCTTGGCTTGAAATAATAATAAAAAATAAAAAAATGAATGCAACCAACACATCTAACAACTGGTAAGCTGCAATATACTACATTTTTGTTTTTCGGTTTAGATATACTTTAATTCTGTATATAAATAATTATAATATTAATGTTATTAGAATGTTATTGGAATGTCTCTAAATAAAAGCTGTGCAGCACAGGAGTATGCAACAGAATTTTGATCGCTTCTTAGATGCAACATTAATCTATTTTTTCAGACAGACACTTTAGGAAATAAGACCCAGTGTCTTGTAATTGGCTTTACTCACAAGGCACTGCATGGCGATAAAGATTATCTCGAATGATTTGCTGCAGTTCGTGGTCAGGAGAAGCTTTCTGGAACCTCTGGTTGAGATAGTGCCTCAGGTCCTTGTTGAGTCGGCTCCCTATAAAAATAAAAAACACAAGACAACATTTTATTATTACTTTGTCTTCACGGTAACGCCATTACTAGAAGTTGCTCCTAGCAGACTTTTTAAATGGCTTTTGTTCATTTTATAAGGGAACTGAAGGTCTAGGAAAGATATTGCAAGAAACACAGTGAGATAAAGGTGAAGGGAATTTATGAGACTGATGTCGATGAAAAACACAGAAGCTGTGGAAAAGCAATGATTACAAACTTGTCAACTATAACTGAAAAGTATAAAGATTTTATTGATAGAGTAGTAATGGATTATGACTCATCAGTTTATTTCTTGCTGTATATGTTGCGGATACTTCCTTTCACTTCCTGTATTGTAAACACAAAAGGAAGCGAGAAAAACTCTCTCCAAATTAACGGAAATCCCTTCAATCCCCAGAAATTTGTCCAATTGGATGATTTCTCCCCTACTCCATTGTGATTTTTCCCCTCACTTTCAGTCTTAGTGAGATTGGTCAGTAGGACAAATAGATAAATCCCAGAGGGAGGGCAATACAAATCTTAATCGTTTGCTAACTCTTTCCTACTGTATTTAAAACTAAAAGATAACCATTTTCATGGTATTTTTGGACGTCTTGTCAATAATTGCAGGAATATGAATTAATCTGGACTGTTTAACCTTGATTCTCCCCTCAAAGGTCAGTAGTGCCTCTGCCACCAGGACTCTTCTCCTCCTCTTCCTCTCCACCTACCCCTCTTTTTCCCTTCTCTGTAAACTTAATCCCTATTTCCACCTACCAATCTGGCCAATTGTTTTTGAATTCAATGCCTGCATATCTTTCCTTATGTAGCTCTCGTATTATTAGGCCCTTGCTGATATGCTCATTATATATAAGATTCTCTGATTCCAATATTATAGTTGCTGTTCATGCGTGAATTGTGGTTATCCAGATTTTTCATAACTTTTACTCCCTTATGTCTTCTCCATCTCACACGTGTCTGCTTTTTGCAATCTTGTTATACCACATCCTACTATGTCTCTTGTTGTATTATGTCTCTTGTTGTTCTGCTATGTTACATATTTCATAAAAGTTTACATTAAAGGAGAACTATGGGGTCAGGGCTTTTCCCCATAGTTCTCCTAAGGGTCACGGGAGGACACAAACTCGTGTTCTCCCATGACCCAAAGCTCAGTATACCGCGAGCTACAGCATTGCTGTCGAGATCCACCCAGCTGCGGCATTGACAGCTGGCTCTGCCAAAACTGACCAATGCAACCACAACTGATTATGCAACTGCATTGAATCCTATTGGGTGAACAATTATTAAATATGTAATTAGCTAATTAACTTGTGATCAAAATTGGGTGAAATGGATCGTATTTTGTGAACAATTATCACAGTGTTGGAATCCTCATTTATATACTCCGATTATATTACAGAAGCCACAAAAAAATAAAGAAAATTCACAAGACACGTCAGAAGTAACACATGACATAGCTTTATAGGTGCAACTGAACTTTACACACAAGTGAATAAGACACAGGTATGCAACCTAATCCCAACAACTGTTCATAAACTGAAGAAAAAAAATGCAATGGTCTCAAAACTAAAAGTTTCAATTTAAAAAGTGTATTTTCACTTTCACAGCCAAACTAGGATGACACCTATTTTATATTTATTACATGTTCCTATTCACATAGCATAAGATAAAAAAAATATATTTAAAAAAATAATTCTTGCAGTTTAAATTACTTTTACATGGGTTAGGGTGCCTTGGCTTCTTACAGGTTAAAATATCTACTTGCTTCTTCTTCTTTGTAATTTTAGGAGGGGCATTGAGGGGTGAGGGGTTTGTTAATTATTATTTATCATTTAGATCTGAACAAAGGGTTAAAAGGAGAACTATGAGGTGAGTGATTTCCACTGATCCTCATAATTAGAGCTGACCTGTGACAAAGAAGCTGTCACAGGTCGGCTCTATTAAACGGGAAGTGAGCAGAAACATGCACCGATCCGCTCACTTTCTGATCGTCTCCCTGCAGTCACCGCTCCCCGCAGGGATTCCCCCCTCCCCTCTCTGATCCTGGAGGAACAAACGGGGGAGGGGGCAGGGACACAGCTAGCTCTGCCACTAGACAGGCAGAACCCACTGTCACTCATGCAGCTAGGTGGATTCCGGTATTCCAGGATTGACAGTATTGTCGTGAACCGTCCCGGCTGCAGGGCAATAGTCCGCTATAGCTTTGGGTCACGGGAGGAGGTTAGTATATGCCCTCTTGTGATCCTAAAGAGAACTATAGGGGAAATCACTTACCCCATAGTACTTATAAAATGAAAAAAACAAAAACACACTTTTCAGATTTCTGTCCAAAAGCTGACTATACTCTGTACATACACTAATAATTTTTACGTTCAACCTGTGGGCTGAACGAAGAAAATATTACAGATTCTGCCATAAATGCTTACAGGCGTTGATCGAGGAATGTCTCACTGTCTACCTCAGCTGTCCCTGTCAGAATACCTGAACAGAGTCGGCAGCTCATTGGATGCCCGCTTTGTTCATTTGAAGATTTTCCAACCGGCTCCTTCGATCAGCTGATCATCAAGAACTGGCCGAAATTCGCATAGTGTATGGCTAGGTTAAGTCATTCTTTAAGGACATATCACTGTGAAAAAAACTTCAATCAGCCATGTTGCTTGCTGCAACAAAACATCTAAACACAAAGACACAAACATTTAGAAGAGATTTCTCAAATTTGACTGCAAAATTGGAAATACACTCTAAGTCCCTCTGCCGCGCTTCGAAAAGAAGCGTGCAGGTGAGAGCACCAAAAAATAGATTTATTAATCTTGAAACTAGGTCAATAGATAACAGCCAATGTGGTCTGATATCATGCCTAGTCTCAAGAGGTAGCTCCCTGTCCTAAGGGATATCCAAGGTATCCCTAACCCTCAGGATAGGGAGCTGCCTCTTGAGACTAGAGATCAAACCACATGTATTTTTGGGACCAGCACTCCAAGAGCTGGACGGGACGCAGGCCAGAGCATCCGGTTTGCTAAGAGCTGAGCGGGGAGATGTCTATGGCCCATACACATCTTCTCGCCCTGCTCTTAGCAACCTGGGATGCTCTGGCCATAAAGGGGGCAGTAGGCATTGTACATTGTGCAGCAGAGCATCCAGTATACAACAAAACATGCCGCTCTGCCTGCCACCCCCCACATGACCAAAGAGATGCCACCTGAGGCTACAGCCTCAGGCTGCCTCATTAAAAAGACGGCTCTGTTTCTAACCACTTAGCAAAATGTGATGCCAGTGTGCCGGAAACTGCAATGGTCTGATCTGTCCTGGAACATATTACACGAGTCATCCATCCATCCATGTATAGAAGCTTCAATTGCGCAAAGAAACCACCCTTCGGACACCTTGCCTTTAATTACAATATACCATGCTGGGGGAAAAAAAATCACTTTTCAAATCATCCATCAGTGTTATTTCTATGAATAGGCCTGAACTTGCTGCTTAAGAGAAAAGTTGCAATTTTCATAATTTGCAGCCTCAGCAAACTAGACTGAACAATATGAATGCAAGCTAATGTTCCCGTATGTGCATTTTTAATGGCGGTCTGTTGAGGACACCACTCAGCACTGCCTGGCAATTTACAGAAAATGAGTTTATCTACTTAACACTGATTTCTTAAACTGTATGAAAAATACAGCTAGTGTTCGTAGAACTAATAATTCCCCGTCTTGCCATAAAAACGATTAAAAAGCAAAAATATGTTGTTTTTTTTCAGTCGTAAATGCGGCCAATAAACGAGCTTGTGATAATGAGACTGGAACTGCTTAGATTGTATATAACTGATCACAAATTAATTTGCTTATTACATCTTCCATTCCTAATTACAACTGAGGCATTATCTCTATGCTTGCTTATAACAATAAGAAAAGTTCACTGTTTAAAGTACAACTGAAGCCAAAACTACTATTTTTTTTCCCCCAGGGTAGGATTAGAACACCTGTCAGATTTGTACTGCCGTCTGTGTCCCCGTTAGGGAGATTCGCCCTCCCTGTTTGTCCTGGTGACCGTTATCAATGAAAATAAAATAAAAGTTCACATTTTGGGTTGTCACCAGAACAGGAATAGATGGGAAATCTTCCAATGGGGACACTAGTTCTCATATAGCGGGCAATAGCCGGCTTTATACTGAGCTTTGGGTCACTGGAGGAGGTTAGTATATATCCTCCTATGACCCTAAAGAGAACTATAGGATAAAAAGGTTACCCCATTGTTCTCTTTTAAAGCACAGATGGAGGACCAGAGTTGCCCACCCCTGAGCAAGAGGCATGGCAATGGATGGTCACAGAAATATGATTCTTCAAGAGCCACAACTATCGAAATTGTGAGGAACTGCACTGCGCATACAGTAGGCCTCCCCATAAACTAAAATAGCATTTCCATTTTTGTACTAAGCAGCCATAGAAAAATAAATTGAGGAACAGGGTCAAAGCCCGTGCAGTTTTAGGGAACGCTAATTACAATAAGCCACTCGTTGGCCTCTGGGATCCAGGCTTTGATACAGCACGTGTAAACCCTTGGACCACAACAATTACGGCATCCACTCATTAGGAGAATCACCCAACAGGCTTCGGATTCCCCCGGCAGACAGCGATGGGCACAAAGCTTTACAAGGCTTCCATAAAACCCTGCTTTTATGTGGATTAAACATCTATTTTATTAATAGAGGCTGGCTTTCCTTGCTGTAACCTTTGTACAACGTTGCTCCACACTATTATTACACAACTCTAACAGGGCAAATCCTATTCCCCATCATTAGCAATTTATCTGCGGCCTTATTAAAGACCAGGAAACCTTACATAAAGAAGCGTAATGCATAAGAAATATAAAACTTTCTGCTGGGTTCCTAAGTCATTAGCAAGAATTCTTGTAAAAATTGCATCATTAAAAAAAGTTCAGGTTTGACAAATTGAAAATGTAAGCCCTTTCCTTGGGAACTTTGACCAT